TTATAATTTATATCAAATTTATCGTATTAATTTTAATTTATGATTTATGAAGATCTTTGATCTCAATAGGTTTTGTTTTGGTTTTATTTTTATATGTAGGTACATTGGCAGAAAGAATCCATCGAGGTATCACAGCAAAACGTTGATGGAATTATCGCTTGGCGATCTAACGGTTTCTATTTTTTTTGGGGGTAAAAGTGGTAAAAGTGGTATTTTTGAATTTCTATTCAACTTTGTTTGTCGTATTTTTGGTCTGTGATACTATTGTAATATGGTTACTAGATTTTAACCCCGTGCGTCCGCACGGGAATGTTTTATTTTTTATTTCTAATATAATTTGTATTTATTTTTTTTGTTTAGATATAATTTATTTTTGTTATTTATTTTTTCAAATCAAAAAATTGTTATCATATTTTAATTTTCAACAATAAAATTTGTATATTAGTAGAATAAGAGTATACGTTAATTAAGTATACATTGATCTAATGTTAATTATAAACTTTGTTATTATGTGAATTTAGATTACATATAAACAATTTATATATCTATGAATTTGCTAATCTATTCGTTTAGTTGTCTTAAATCATTTTTAATATCTTACATGTTTTGAAAAACTAACCCGTATAAGACTATAATTATAATTGTATAACCCTATAAATATTTACTAATATTATTTGGACCAATTGATTATGAAAAAATATAATAAAATATTTATTTACTATATGTACTATTAAAAAAAAATATATATATATATATATAAATAAACAGGCTAACCTGTTAGTTTAATTGTCTCAAATCATCTTAATATCTTACATGTTTTAATAAATTAACTCATGGACCTTAAATATATATATATAACTCTAATCAGCTCGATCATATTATTGTATAATATAAATATTTATTAATCTCAAATATTTGATATTTTAAACCGATTGTTTATGATAAAATACGATAAAATATTTATTTACTATGCATTTTTTAAAAAATATTATTTAAATTTAAAATTTAAAATTAAATCTTTCCTGTATTTAAGAAATTCTAAAATATTAAAATTATTATCTAAATTTTCGTAATAAAATTTAATTATAGTTTTTTTTGAATTTTTTGAATTTAAATTAAATTGAATGCAAATTTTTGTAACTAAATTTAATTAAATTTTTAATAATTTGAAATTTAAATTAAAGATGACCTAGATTTTAGGAAATCTAAAAATATATAAATTAATAACTAATTTTCGGAAATTAAATATAAAATTAAAATAAAATATTATTAAAAAACTTTGGGAGTGTTTGGATACAAGTACTAAATGTGCTTCTGTTTTAATAGAATAGATGTTATTGGCATTTACTTTGGAATAAAGGTGTTATTGACACACTTGAATTGAAGGTCTTAAACGTACAGTTACGAATATATACCATCTCATAGCCCTGTTGTAGAAAGAAAGAAGAAATTTAAAAGAGAAGCATTTTTATGTATATTTCAGACTGATGTAGATGGTATGAAACAATCGATTACACCAAGTTTAGATGAAAACTTATTGAAAGCCTTCTAATACTTTGATAAAGACAACAGCTGGTAAGTTTGGTCCCTTGAGTAAAATGGAAAGCGTAGGAGAAATAAAAGCTTAGATCTACATTTCATGATATTTAATGAACAAAAAAAAACTAAGTTAGACTCTGTGAATTTGTAAAGAATTTTACAGTTTTAAAACTTTAAAACTTTTTTTTTGTCAACAGCCTAGATACTTAGAACGGTTCAGAAATCCAAACCGGGGTACCGAGTTTACATATATAACACCGTGAGGGTAGACTCGTGCACTTCGTGCTAAGTTGTCTGTCTTCATATTCTTTGCGCGCGAAATGTGTGATATTAGAAAAAGATAAAAGCCTCCTTACTCTTCACAAACTCCTCCAAATGTAAGTCAAAAACTGGTCATTCTTCTGGTGTCGACACCATCTTCACCAATTCAGAACAGTCTGTTGCGAAAGCTACCTTCGTCTTTTGGTTTGCACTCATGCATAGCATAGCCCAGATAAGCGCTATAAAAAATGTTAAACTTTGATTGGATAAATTAGAACTTCAAAGATTTTAAAATAAAATACAAGTTTATAGAGTTGCATAGTAAAAATAAAATAAGAATTTCAAATATAGTCTGAATGAGACGAGAAAATAGTAGGATAAGGAGAAACAACATCTTAGATAGGAGATTACAAATGAAAATCGATAAAATTAAGTTTGAACCTATAAGAAGGAGATGAATGGCGATAGTTGAGTTAAGATTTTGAAGGATTCTAATGTATAATTACATTACAAATAAAAATCTATGCAATAAGTTTGATCTTGATTTAAAATTTTTTGTTGATGTGTCATTTCCAAAATTATTCTCACTTGGAAGTACTTTGATCTCAGAGAGAGAGGTGATTTTTAAAGACTTTAACTTAGGTTATTAATGTACTTCAAAAAAATATTGTAGCACCACAATTTACAATTAAGAAAATGTTATAGAAAATTTGGCTTTAAAATAATAGGTTCAAAAGAAAAGGTAAGATTTTATTTTGATGATTTTCAAAACTAAAGCATAGCAGAATCAAGAAGACTAAGTTAGACTTTGTAAGAATTTAGAAGAATTCTACGTGTTTTAAAAGTATATTGATTAGATAAATTAGAACTTTAAATATTTTAAAATAAAGTAAGAGTTTATAAATTTGAAAAGTTAAAATAAAATAAAGTCTGACTGAATATGAAAAAATAGTAAAGATAGCAAATATCAGATGATTTAGAAATGAAATTTCAAATGAAAAACCGATAATATTAGGTTCAAAAACCGAGCATAAGAAGGAGACGAATAGCGATAGTTGAGTTAAAATTTTTAACGGTTTTAATGTATAATCATAATACATATAAAAGTTTATGCGAGTACTTTGAATTAATTTAAAAATTTAAGTTGATATGTCATTCCCACAATTATAATCAGCTGGTAGTTCTTTTATCAGATAGAAAGAAGTGATTGTTAGGGACATTAACTTTAGTTTATTATTGTACTTTAAAAAAATATTGAAGCACCACAATTGAGAAAATGTTGTAGAGAATTTGACTTTCGAATAATTGATAGCAATTCAAAAGAAAAGATAAGGTTTATTTTGTTGGTTTTGAAAACTAAACCATCCTAAGAACAAAAAGGCTAAGTTAGAATTTGTGACTTTTTAGAAGAATTTTATGGATTTTCCAAATGTTAATCTTGATTAGATCAATTAAAACTTTAATTTTAAAGTAAAGTAACATTTTATAAAATCACATAGTTAATCAAAATAAAGTAAAAGTCTTCAAAGTTAGACTAAAAGAGACACAAAAATAGTAAAAATAGCAAGAACTGAACGATTTAAATATGAGATTACAAATGAAAAATTGATAAAATTAATTTTTTACCCGAGTATAAGAAGGAGACAAATGGCGATAGTTGAATTGAGATTTTGAATGATTCTAATATATGATAAAAATATGGATAAAAGTTTATGAGATTAGTTTGAGCTTCATTATAAAAAATTTGTTGATATACCATTCCCATTATCCTCACTTGGAAGTTCCTCGATATGATAGAGAATTGTGACTTTTAGAGACTTTAGAATAATGGATATCAATTTAAAAAGGGAGAGTAATACCGCGGTGGCAGAATCTCCAATTGGATCAGCTTTAGTGGCAGAAGCTGTCGCCATCAGATCAGCGCTTCAGGATGCGATCGATCTGGGTCTGCAAAAACTATATCTGGTATTGGATGCTGCTGCCCTGACTCAAGCAATAAATCAGAAGAAGACCCTATCGGAAATCCATGGAATCCTTCATGATATCCTGAATCTATCTCTTTGTTTTGAGGAAATTGTTTTCCTTTTTGTACCTCGCGAAGCTAATTATTTGGCTGATAATAATAGTCTCAGAGACTTTTAAGAGACCAATATGCTAAACCAGTTGGTTTAGGCTTTAATGAAGAAATCTTTGAACAAAAAAAAAAGAATATCGATTTAAAAGACAATATTAAAGTTTTATTTTGTTAACTTTTAAAAAATAATCCACAGTAGGAACCAGAACACTAAGTAAACTAAAGTTTGTGAAATTTTAATATAATTTTATGAATTTTAAAAGTGTTAAATATTGAACAAAGTAAAACTTGAAAGATGTTAAAATGAATAACAATTATAAAGTCTCATATGGAACAACAATAATAATAATGAGAAAGGAGTCATAATCAATCAATAATCTTTCAAATATATATATATATTTAAATGTTATAAAAGTACATTTTTGTTAATGTACTTCAAAAAAATATTGCAAAGAATTTGACTTTAAAATAATGGATAGCAATAAAAAAATTATTTTGTTGATTTTAAAAATAAATCGTTGCAGGAACAAAACAAAATAAGTTAGAATTTGTGAATTTTCAGGGATTTTGAAATTCATTACTAAATTTTAAAGAATTTAAAATTAAAATTAAATATTATAAAATCACATAATTAAAACAAAATATTTTTTTTTTTAAATTTAGATTTAGGGACATGAAAATAAGTAAAAATGGCGAGAAATAAACAATTTATTTATGAAATTATAAACTTACCTATAAGAAATAAAAATATCTAATTATAAATTTAATCCAATTATACATTTTATCTAAAAACATCACCGTCAATATTATAAGTTAATTTTCATTCCGAGCACGGATCAAAAATCTAGTGGTGTTTATATTTGCTGATCGAGAATGAATTATATCAGATTAATTCGAATATGAAAATGAGAAAAAACTTTTCATTGTAAAGCATCTCATATTTGTTTATTTTTTTCTTGTTTTTCAAAATTATTTTATTGTATTATTTATGTAATTGTGGATTTTATATATAAAATAATAAAGAAAAAAGGATTTTTGATTCGGCCCATTGTGTGTCTCGGCCCACACACATTAGTCCGGCATGTGACTGACGACGTCCGGAGACGCATATTTCTCTCCCATAGCTTTGTCATTTGTGTGTCCATGGTTCGCAGGAGCTTCTTCTTCCATGGCCAAAATAGCACAAGTGATGATCCCTGAAACATCACGATACCAGCTTCTTCTGTCATGTCCTTCTGGCCTCTCTCTATCTCAGGTTTTCTCTCATCTCCGTTAATCGAATATACACACACACTGTGATTTTATAGTTTCCGTATTCAAATATTGTTTTGTTGTTTGTTAATGCTCAAGGTCTCCGTGGATTTCTCGAAATCGCATGATCGGATTCCACATCCAGATCCTGATCTAGAAGATTCCATTGCGCAGGTGAGAGAGAATCAAAGCGAATCTACAGCTTGTGTTTGGTTTTCTGATTCGATAATTCAACAATGCTGGATCGAAATTGTTGAAATCTTTAGTGAAATGGAGATTTCGGTTCTCACTTTTCATTTCACAGTTTGAATGTTGCCGTTTCTTCGTATCCATATTGATCCGTACCTCCTGTTTCTCTAGATATGTACGAGCTTTTGATGAGAGAAACTGATGCGTGTTCTTGGCAAATTAGGTTTGGGAGGAGAGAACACAGGGGAATTCATCATTGTTCAATGGCCAAAAATTCAGAGTATGCAATATAGTTTTTGCCTAGCGTTTCATGTTATATTTGAGTTTCGATATTGCAAGGATAAAAAAAAGATGATGAGAATTAATGCACGAGATGTATTGTCTTTGAAGTTGTTTTGTACTTGGGTCACTAATCAAAGTAGCTACTTCATTCAATGTAATCAAATTTCCACTAAAAAGTTGTTTAAAAATGTTCAGTATGGATCATATTGTTTAGATGGTGATGGTGATGGCGATGAAGTACCACACGTCTGCCTTCGCCTTGGACTGACAGATTACAGGTTACTCATTTATCTCTCTTTGTCATTTTTTGCATAGGATCAGAAAGAACTCTAATTTTTCGATTCCTGGTATACATGAAGAGAGTAATTGATCACGGACATGGTTTCCAAGGACTTTTGTAGGAACTAATTTGAGTTCTCTGTGGGAGCGGTTCCTTGTTACATCAGAAGGTACACACATATACTAATCTCCGAGAAACTTATTGTGATCATTGTCTAGTTTTGTCTTTTGAAACGGGAGAGCTTCCAGGTGATTTTGATTAGGTTTCTTAATCGCCATAGTTTTGTTCTCCCAACAGATGACTCTGTAAGATGTCGACATACATCAAGTCCACTGGGTAATGGTGCAGTGATCGAGACTTCTGACAAAAAGATTATTGTGTTACGCCGGAGTGATAACGTCGGGGAATTTCCAGGTCACTACGTATTCCCTGGAGGCCATCCAGAGGTATTGACATAAAGCATCATCATATCTTCTCTTTGTCTAACTCTTTGTTTCATGGTTGATGAATTTAAACATTGCAGCCAATAGCAGTAGGTATCGATGATTCTCATCAGCTTCAGAAAGATGGTGAAACCAGTGAGCTTCTAAACAAGAAGGTAGCTCAAGAAATGTTTGATAGCATTATCAATGAAGTTGTCGAAGAAACTGGAATACCAGCATCATCTCTTGTAAGTCAGAGAGGGTTTTTCTTTTATTCTTACTTAGGATCCCTAGAGACATCTAAATCCTGATCGGTGTTTTACAATCACAGAGCTCTCCTCTCTTCATCGGAATATCTCGGAGGGAGCTAAATGTGAGACCAGCTATGTTTTTCTTTACCAAGTGTAGTCATCATTCAGATGAGGTACCAAGATTATACTCTAATGCTGAAGATGGGTTTGAGTCAACACAGCTCCACACTGTCTCTATGGTTTAGTTTTTAACCCTTGAACATACATGTTTTACTCTCTAAAATGCTATGATCCCATCATCGAGTTAATGTAGCTTCTCTTTATAATAATCGATCAGGACGAGCTGAAGAGGATGACATCAAGAATGCCAGGTTGCCACCATGGCGGTTTTGCGCTCTATGAGCTGATGCTTCAACGTCTCAAGAACACTAATGAAACCCTTTTTACATCGACCTAAGAGGATTGAACTTGAAACTTATTGTAAGTCGTCTTATGGCTTGCAAATAATCACCATATGTTTTGTATGTTGGATAAGTGAATTCAATAGCTCATTTGCTATTTGAGAATCTAAAATAATTGTTTAGCGACAAGTTGTTTGTATTGTCATTACTAAATTCCTTAGTTAATAATAAATTTGAAGCATTAATAGAGGTTCATGTGTGCATAAGCATCTAATCATACGAGACATTCTTGCATTTGATTTTGATTAGACATGTTGAAGATAAGGGTTCCAAAAAAGCTACAACAGGGATGATATTAAATCGTTCAAAAATCTCAAGTAAACCATTATGGATTCATGCTTTTTTAACCGGATTTGGATGAATCTCTTTGTCCTTGTTGGAAGTTCTTCCTAAAAAATGCAGATAAACTAGCCGTAGCAGCACGACCGTTCTCTACACACAGGAAATAATCATCAACTGAAACAAAAACAAAAACAAAAACAAAACAAAAGCGCGATTGAGAAACAAAACTTCTTAAAACGACATATCTGAAACAAATGAAATGTATGAACACAACAGACCACATATAATGCAGCATAGTGAGTTTTATTTAAGAAAGAGAAGTTATAGCAATACCTGACATTACTCCATAGGTAACTGATGTAATGAGCCCATGCTCTACAGGCTCGCCTTCTGATGATCCTTCCGGGAGCTCAGAGAGAGTTGTATTTGGGAAGACTAAATAAGCGAAAGCCTCATTTTCTGTCCATTGCAGTTCAAGTAAGTATAAACAATACCGAGAAAGGAAAACAAGATAACAGTAATGGACAATAAGGTCTTTTTAATTAAACCTTTTCTTCAAGCTTGTTTGGATCGAGTACAACATATCCATTATCAGCCAGGCAACAACATATAGCAACTGAAAAATTATAAACGCCGATGAAGCAATTAGAAGAAGCACAGAAAGTGAATTAGAGGAGCATAAGTTGCAACTATATATATATATATACCAGCGAGATGCTTCATAGGTATTCCTGCGTCTACCAAAGCTGCACATGCTGCGTTTATAGCACACGGTAAAAGCTACAAAAAATGAATTAAGGAACAAGCAAACCAAAGCTGTCTTTTAAATCAATGCACCACTTATCTCAGTAAAACATTTTCATTATTCCAGAGCTAGGATTTACAAGCTTTCACTACTCTCTATAAATGCTCAACCGGATTGAATGTGCTTGAGACAACATCAGTAAATGGTTACTGAGCATCTTAAAAAGGATACAGAACCATCATCATGTACAACCTACACGGCAAGCAAAAAATGAAAAACATCAGACATACAACTCAAATTGATGAAATGAGTTTCTACAAGACAGGACATTATAACAAAGGCAAAGGCATTGAGATTGGTTACTCACCTGAATTATCACTGAAGTGGTGGTATTTGGATTTACCGTCAAAACACAAATACTCTGTATTGTCTTTTTTAGTATCATCTCATACTCTTTTTCGGCTTTTCCTAAAATTACGCAGAGTTAAACTCAGTCAGAAACACTAAGTCCTACCCGATGAAACCAAGAACCACCTACAACACGGACACAAGCAGCAAAAAAACAATCAAATCCAGACATGATCAAACTAAATGCATTTCTATTTAATAATACCTATCTGCCCGGATTTAGGCTTCCATATGACTTCAAAGCAAGCCTTCTCAGGGTTCTCGTTCTTCTTCGTTCCTGCTTTAGGTCCATAAACTGCAGCTAGGACTTTTGTATCCCCTAATATATAAACGAGAAGCATACCCATTAGAAAGTTCCATGAATCCCATTCGAAAAGGAGTAGTAAGCTAGATATATGTAATCGAACAAAAAGAAAGATGGAGACTAAAACAAGTACCTTGCGACCAGCTAGCAGAGCCATGAGGACGATGAAGGATGTTACGAGAACAAGCAAGAGGTCTCAGTTGATTTGGCGTTCTGCCATCTTCTCTGTCGATCTCCATAGCTCTAAATACTTCTCTACACAACAGAGTTTTAGTAAGTGTCTCTCTTCCTAAATTAAAGTTGCCAAATTTCTGAATTCTACCACTGAGAAAACAGAAAGTAAAAACCAAATACACAGAACCGAAAAAGATACAGAAACAGAATAGCAGATCATGTTTCTCTAACTCTAAAGTAGAACTGAAAACGATGGATTAAGAACCTGTTTCAAGATCAACATTGAGTGTTCTCACAAAAAAAAAAATCATGTTCTACATCGTTCTGACCAACATTCTGTGTAGGCTTTTTGTTTATTGAAGCAAAAACTCCTTCTTTCAATTCTAAACTACTCGTTATTTATCTCCTATTCTGTTCAAAGTTCACAGCATTAAAAGAAAAGAAGCAGAGATAGAACACGAATTTACACAGAACTAAGCTAGAAGAAGAAACGATTCCTTATCAGAAGACTAACCAACAGAAACTAAGTGAAGATTAAATGATTTTCACCTCACTTTAAATGAAGAACTGAAGATAAGAGCCGGCGATTTGCAGTCCTCCACGGACTAACCAGAGGAGAGAAGAAGAAAAAGAACGTCCTGAAGAATTAGGGTTTATGGTTAAGTTTCAGAATCAATAAAAGTGTTTGCTTTAGCTTGTACCGATAACCGGGCGGTCCGGTTTTTTTAAACATTGGTCTAATTAGTAAAACATTCTGGGGAAAGATACTTAATCCGGAGTTTGAACATAATCAAATCTTGCCGAGAAAATCGAGTAACTGACGGAAAAATCCTACCGATAACTTGCATCGACGATATCAAATTTGATCTAAATTTCCGGCGATATCTCGAGGAAGATGGATGAAGAATTGTTGGAATTGCAGCGCCAGTTCGAGTTCGCTCAGCAGGTGAAGTCAAGCGTCAGATTATCGGATCGAAATGTCGTCGAATTGGTTCAGAAGCTACAAGAGCTTGGCGTCATAGACTTCGATCTTCTTCACACCGTCACCGGAAAGGAATACATCACTCAGGTACCGATTCTATTTCGCTTTCTCTCTTGTTTCGTGAGCAAAATCCGTTATGAATATACTCCAAGAATCATCACAAGGTTTCGCATTGTGTGCTGTGTAAATGGTGTGAAATACGGATAAATCTGCTTGTTGCATGAGGAAGTTGATCGGAAAATGAAGTCAAATTTGCTTGATCGAGCTTTTAGCTTTTTACTGTTTGTGTTTTGATTGGTTCACAGGAGCAATTGAGGAATGAAATTGCTAGCGAGATCAGTAAATTGGGCCGTGTCTCTGTCATTGATCTCGCTGATACGATTGGGGTTGATTTGTATCATGTGGAGAAGCAAGCACAAGATGTGGTCTCGAGTGATCCAGGGCTAATGCTTGTCCAGGGAGAGATAATATCGCAAACATATTGGGACTCGATTGCAGAAGAAATAAACGAGAGGCTCCAAGAGTGCAGCCAAGTTTCTGTGGCTGAGCTTGCTGGTCAGTTACAGGTTGGCTCTGAGTTGGTACAATCCGTTTTAGAGCCTCGACTTGGAACTTTGGTAATGGTTGCTTCTCCTATAATAAGCTCTCCACATTGTTTAAGTGAATGAGGAGCTATGATATATGTAGATGTTTTTTTTTATCTTTCTTAGGTGAAAGCAAGGCTAGAAGGTGGACAGTTATATACACCTGCTTATGTAGCACGTGTGACTGCTATGGTTAGAGGTGCTTCCAGGGGTATCTTTGTTCCTTCCAATTTGTCGGCATTGTGGACGCCATTGCAACAGTTGGTACAAGAAATGAATGGAGCTAGTGGAGTCCCTATTGAGAATTCGTTTTTCCAGTCTATATTTAACCGACTGTTGAAGGAAGAGGAGATGCTTGGATCACTTCGTGCTGGCACCCATTGGACTCCTAGTGTATGTTATTAAAAAACTTATTTTTTTTTTTAGGTTTCTGGCATCTAATGCATTTTCCATGCTTTCTATTTCCTATGTTCAATTAAAATTCATCAGATTAACTCAGCAGTTTTATTTTGGTGGCAGGTTTTTGCAATTGCTCAAAAGGAATGTGTAGACTCTTTTTTTTCACAGGTTTGCTCACCCTTTTTTCTAAAATGTCCTTCTGTATGAGTTAATTTATTCATCGGTTGGTTGCGGAAAAGAACTAAAATTAAACTTCATCGGACTACAGTTTACATGTTCTGTAAATTATTCTTTCTTGAAGAAATGGTGAATCAATAAATTTATGGTTTATTTTGTTCCATTTTCCTGCAGAATTCCTATATTACCTACGAGACCATGCAGAAGCTTGGGATTTCTCAGGCCGTGCAGTTCTTACAGGTATTGTATCATGTTAGTTTAGCGTAATACTTCTGTAGTTTGTGAAACTGTTAGTTATGGAATGGTATGTGTTATGTTGCCTCTCTCATTTTTTTCTTCTCATTATAGTTTTTGTTATGTGACATGTATAGTCTAGATATCCAGATGGTAAACCTTTATCTGCTGTATTTATTCATTCCTCAATGATTGAGATGCTGGATGCTGCAACCGAGGATGCTATTGAACAAAACAGTTGGTGAGCTAAATGCTCTTACGCTTCTCCCCTCTGTCTATGGTGTTTGTTTGCTTTTACTTTATGCTGTCTATATATGTTACTGAAATTCTTGATCCTCGGTTCAGGATCGATTCCCTCACTGTATTGCCTGCATCATTCACGTCACAGGATGCAAACAAGATGTTGCTTCTTTGTCCCTCCGTCCAATCAGCTCTCAAGGTGGGATTTTGATCAAATGTGATAACCAGTCAATGCTCTTTTGCTATTAATTGCTGATTCCTTTTCCCTTCCAGGCTGAGAAAGCACTTATCTTGGGTGAATCATATGTCCTAAGCAGTGGGTTCATTAAGGTAAACATATTAAATGGAGAATATCATTAGTAGTTTCCTTGCGAGCTGTTTGTCTCTCCCGTTTGCTTTTCTCTATCTGGACTATATCTTAGTTTGACTTACTAATGTTTAGGGCATATATGATCAAATTGAGAAAGAGGCAGAAGCTTTCAGCATCCAAGCTTCTACTGCTAGTTTGGTAGTTCCTTCAAGCAAATCTTCAGAGTCGACAGAAAGTATACCTGCTAATACGGACAGAGGATCAAAGAAGAAAAAAGGGAAGTCTGTCAGCATGAAGACAGCAACCGTTGAGACTGTTCTAGATGATGAAGAGGAAGCTCGTCCTAAATCTAAGAGAAACCAGAAGAAAGGCAGGGATTCATCGTCGTCTCAGAAGTTAGATTCGAAAGCAGGAGGCAAGAAAGAGTCCCTTAAGGCGCAAGAAGGTAATAACGTTATTCCGCCAGACGAATGGGTGATGAAAAAGATCGTCGACTCTGTGCCTGAATTTGAAGATGAAGGTACATCTGAGAAAATCTTTCTTATGTATGCATAAAAAATAATCTAGCGATCGCTCATGTGACAGAAGCTATGTGGTTTCTGGCAGGTTTGGAGAACCCAGATTCAATTCTTAAGCATTTAGCTGATCATATGAGACCTATGCTCATTAATTCACTAAAGGAGAGAAGAAAGAAAGTCTTCACAGAAAATGCAGATAGATTGAAGCGCTTGATGGATGATCTTCAGAAAAAGCTTGATGAGGTTGACACTAACTGCTTCAACTGTAGCTTTATCTTTTGTTTGACTATCTATGTCTTTCCTGCGATCCTCATTTTATTGGCTTTCCTTTTTGCAGTCCTTCCTAAATATGCAGCTGTACGAAAAAGCGCTAGAACTGTTTGAAGATGACCAATCGACTTCAGTAAGTACTTTCAGTTCATTTTGCAAGCGGCACTTGCTAACTAAAGAATATAGTGTAACAATTTGTTTTCTTCTGGTCCTAGGTTGTTTTACATAGGCATCTGCTGAGAACAACAGCAGCTACAATTGCTGATACACTTCTTCATGACTTGGTAAGTCAAAAATAAGGTAAATAGAGATTTCTAAGGTCATTTTCTTAATGTATTAACTAATTTAGCTTTGACTATCAAAACAGGACATCCACAACAAATTGAAGAATGGTATTGAAGTTGAAGATTCCAAAGCTCAAGATCCGGTTTTGCTTGATTCTTCTGAAAGAACGGCCCTTGTAAGTGAATTTGATGACTAATTTAACTAAGTACTTTGTTATTGCACTTTATATTCTAAAATAATGTTAGCTGATGTTCAAAGTTCTTGTGTTTTCTTTTCCTTTTGGGCAGGCTAAAAATCTCAACGGTCCATTATCGAAAAGGGCCCTTTCCCTAATTGAGGCATTGGAAGGAAAGGTCAGATATTCGTTAGTGAACATAGAGCCAGAGTTTTTCTATTCTGTTAGAAACTGAATGGGAGTCGGTGATTGAAACAAATGATATGAATATGAAAATGTAGCTACTGGTTGAGAATGGAATCTTATGATTACTTAGGCCTGACCACTAAATTCCTGTTCCACCTATTCCTGATAATCACCCTGTTAAAGGGAGTATTTAAAGCCTTTTGTTTCACTTTTTTCTTTCCTTCTCGTGAATAATAAAATAAACTCCATTGATTGAATTATTCGTGTGTTTCAGCGCGTAGACATTTTCATGACCACCTTCAGAGAGCTGGCAGAGGAAAGGTATTATAGTTCATACTTATCAAGATATTTCTGAAGCATGTCTGTTTACTATTCACCAGATCGACTGAATGTCATCTTCATCTTTGCAGTGGATTGATCTTGAAAAAGCTTGACAAGAAACTGGAAAGGACTCTCCTACATGCATACCGCAAGGTGTGTACCAAAAACATATTGTTGTTTCAATATATTAAAATGACCTCATCACTTCTTTTTATCTGTTGACGATGTTTTTTCTTGTGCTTGCAGGATTTGATATCTCAAGTTTCTACTGAATCAGACCCCGTTGCACTTCTCGCTAAAGTTGTTTCTCTCCTTTATATTAAGGTATGTTTCCATGTTAGCGTAAAATACATCCTAAGTTGAAAATCCGGATATCAAGTTATGGTTGGAAAATTGTTTGACAGGTTCACAACAAAGCTTTACAAGCCCCTGGTCGAGCTATTGCTGCAGCTATTTCACACTTGAAGGTATTACAACGTAGAAAAAAATAATTAGTTAGCGTCTTTTCACTTAGTATCACATCTTGGTCTGACGTCAATTTCAACTTTGTAGGATAAACTTGATGAATCTGCGTACAAGACTTTGACGGATTACCAAACAGCAACTGTCACTCTTCTTGCTCTAATATCGGCTTCATCGGGAGAGGTTCAAATCTCCTCTTTGTTTTTTCGGGATATAACCATTTTACTCTCTTTAGAAAAATGATCTCTTAAGCTGTTTCAATTCATATGTACAGGAACATGACTGCTCTGCCGATAGAATCCTGACCAAACGGGAACTTCTCGAGAGCCAGATGCCAATCCTTCGAACACTTGTCCTCGGCGAATCACAGCCACAACAATCCTAGTCCAACAAAAAGTCATCCCTGAAGGTTTCTTAGTTCCTTAAATGTTTTGCTGATATTACCGTGATTATCACTAGACTAAAACTTGTTAGGACTAAGATATGGACTCATGTTTACATAATTCAGCTACAAACCTTACATATAAAAAGGTATTTCAAACTACTCTTTTATTAATATTCACTAACTTTGATACAACGCGGTTCATCATTACAGGAGAAAGAAAACTTGCACATCATTTTATTACACAACAACGCATTTATGTCTTCAACTTTCCATCTTGACCATTCCCTTTAGCCAGAGATGTCAATAGACTTGACCTCAGGCTTCCTCTCAGGAATTTTCGGGACCATAACCGATAAAACACCATTCTCCATACAAGCCTTAACTTCCTCCATCTTCGCATTCTCCGGCAGCCTAAACCTCCTCATGAACTTACCACTAGACCTCTCCACACGGTGCCACTTGTCACTCTTTTCTTCGTTCTCGCTCCTTCTCTCTCCGCTTATCTGAAGTACGTTCCCATCTTCAACCTCCACCTTCACCTCTTCTTTCTTTAACCCAGGCAAGTCCGCCTTGAACACGTGCGCCTCAGGTGTCTCCCTCCAGTCCACTTTAGCGTTTGTGAACGCTGCCACGTCTCTACCGGGTGCGTTTGCCAAACCTGATCCTTCGAACGGATCCCATACGTCAAGCGAGAACGGGTCGAACACGTTTGTTCTTCGGCCTCCAAAAAAGCTCGGAATTATAGACATCGTTACACTCTTTTTGGCGTTTTAATTCTCTTTTGCTTGGCTTTGCTCTTTTGTTGCTTTGTTGATTCTTAGGCCTTAGTGACTTTGCGTATATATAGGGACTGACTAGCGAGAGGATAAGAGCAAGGACGTTCTGCAAGTTTCTTGAAAAGTCGTGACTCTTCTTTCTCTTATAACTTTCGGTTATAATCGTCGTTTCTCGATTTTTTTTTTTTTTTTGGTTGATAGGTATCTTCGTTACTCGATATCTCATGTGATTTCAAGAAGTTTTGATTGACTGCGTGTAATTTCGCCGGTAGACAGTTGAACGTCATGCCGTTTTTGTCTATAAACTTTTCGCTTTGTGCTCTGTTACTGGGCCTTAATAAAGTGACCCAATTGTTTTTTCTACCTGCGACCCACCCAAAGTCGATCGAATAGTTCTGTTTTATTCATTACCTTAAATCAAAAATGATGGTGGTTCATAGCCCAAAGTAAAGTCAAAGCCCAAAAGAGGAAGAGCTAGGGTTTTAAGATATTACTTGAATCATAATTAACCTTCGATTCAAAAGTAACCTATGAGATTTTATTTCCTTTTTTCAACTGACCTTTTTTTTATATCCGCTTTTTTTTGATATTTTAGATATCGTATTCATAATTAACAAATAAATTTGCATTTCCTTTTTTAGTCAAATTTTTTTTTCCATTCCTAGTTGAATAATGCTAAGATAATTTCTTATAAATTAGTCATTTTTTTTCCAATCTCTTCATCATTCACAGAGATTGATAGAACAATATAGACTGGCTACCATACTCTGTGATAGAGCAGATTCTGGAGAGACTTGATGTGAAAACCCTCTTCAAGTTCAATTTTGTGTCGAAGCATTGGAAATCTACTATCCAATCCGCTTCTTTCAAAAAGAGACATCTTCTCCATCGTAAACAATCAGGAGATCCAGAACCACTTTTGGTGTACGTGTATGATTGTCTTGTTAATGATCCTTACATTGATGCTTTGAGAACGTTGGTGCTAGGGCCATCTCTTTCTGTTAAGATCCCTACACCTTGGGAGAACAAGTTTTACAACGTTTGCAATAGTAGCTGTGACGGTCTGATATACCTCTACGATTCACGTGAATCGAGTATCGTCATCGATCCCACCACTCGATGGCATCGAACACTACCTCCATGTAACTATCAGCTAGTGTCTTTAAAATACAAGAACCCTGAACCTTTTCCTGGATTTGGTAAAGACAAAATCAATGACACATACAAGCCAGTTTGGTTATACAATTCTGATGTCTTAGGCCTACTTGCCAAGTTTTTGATTTTACCACAAACGCTTGGAGATATGTTGTCCCTGCGTCCCCTTATCTGATTCTTCACCGCCAATATCCTATACATTTAGATGGATCACTTCATTGGTTCACTGCTCGGGACTCGGGTGAAAACAAAGATTTTATCTTTCGGTCTTCATGCTGAAACTTTTCAAATCATCTCTAAAACACATTTCGTCCACGACTCTATAGAAAAAATCGCCATGTGCAACCTGGATGATCGTTTATGCGTCTCCGAAAATAAGTGGCCCAACCTAGTGATATGGTCGCTCGATTCAGATCAGAAGACATGGACCAAAATTTATTCCATAGATCTATAAAAGTACTACCTGGTTTGGGGTGGATCCCATATGGGCACTCAAACCACTAGTAGTCTTGGAGACGGACAAGTTATTGTTTTATGAGTGTGGATGGTACCCCTTGGTATATGATCCCACCAAAGTCTATGATTTAGCTTACAGTTCTAAATTCTATGCATGTACTATTTGTTATTTCCTGAGTTTAATCTCTATTTTATCAAATTGATTATTTTTAATAAAATTAGTTTTGGTTCTTTTCCTTTTCTTTACTATAACTACGGCAACCTCAAATAAACGGTTCATCAGTCCATCGGAGTTAAGAAAAAAAAAAACAATTTTGGCTCTAACTTTATCATATATATTAAAAGAGGGTTCAGAATAAGCAATGGATGTCTCTCATTGAGTTTCAGCTGGTTAATTACCTCTTACCCCTTAATGAGAATAATTAATTTTGGATATATTAACTAAATTTTTTTAAACAAACTCGAGGAAATGAATATCGTAAGCCCATACAAATATTCACGGCCCATATTTTACGTGACCTAAACGAAATACTACCGACCTAAACCCTAATCTTAAACACTTATATAAATAAGTCTCATACGTTCATTCTTTCATATCGTTTTAGATAAACCACTACAAGAAAAACATCATTTTACAACGGCCAAAATGGTCGTTATTTCGTCGTAATAGGCTATTACGACGACCTACCGACGATTTCGAAATCGTCGTAAAGTCATCGTCGTAATAGACAAATCGTCGTAAAATCGTCGTATAATATACGACGGTTTCGTTTCGTCGTAACATCGAGGGAAACAAAATCGTCGTAAATACGTCGTACAGTTTACGACGATTTTACATAGAATTGCGTCGACTTGGTCTTCGCCTGGACCGTCGTTAAGTGGTCGTTAATGGTCGACGTAAGATCGTCGTAAAATGTACGACGCAAAAATCGTCGTAAATCAATCGTAAAGTATTTAATTATTTCGTCGTAAAATCGTCGTAAAGCACAGACGTATAATCGTCGTATTTGTCGTCGTACATTTTGGTCGTAAATTCGTCGTAATATTTACGACGAATATACGACGGGTTTAATAAAGATATTACGACGATTATACGACGTTTAATATAATTGAAAATTAAAAAAAAATTAATTCGAATTAAAATTTAAATTAAAAAAATAATTTACAATTTAAAATTTATTAAAATTTATTAAAATTTGAAATTAAAATTTCAAATTAAAATTAATTGTAATTTACATAAAAACCTACAGCTCTAAATCTAAATCTAAATCTATATCGTCGATCCCGTCACCGGCCTCCTCCCCATCGTCCTGGACGTGTTCCTTGCCGGGTATTCGGTTTGATGCTTCCGCCGGCGCCTGATCTCCGGCTCTAGGAGGCTCAACCCCGAGAGATCGGAACATCTCCTCGTCCGTCTGCACCGGCGGTAGCGTCCTAGTGGATGACCCGGCGGCAGACGATCCGACAACCCCATCTGCCCGCAGCTTGTCCAACTGCGCCATGAGCACCGGGTTGTCGGCTCCCATGATCTCGAAGAGACCGTAGAGCTGGTCGATCCTCGTCTCGTAACGGGTCCACATCTGATCGATCTCCTGGCGGATAACCGGATACGGGACCCGGACGTGACCAGTCACCGTAGCTCTCGGGGTATCACGGATGAATCCCATCCCTAATACCCGCCCTTTTTTCTTTGGGGCAACCTACAAATATTTAAAAACATTATGGTTAGAAATTCAATTTAAAAATAAAGTTACATTAATTAAATATAGTAATTAAATTTACTTCTTCGAAGATCTGGTCCATCTCCGCCACCGTCAGCGCCGGGGTCGATTGGACCGAGCTACCTCCGGGAGACGTTTGACGCGCCTGCTGAGTCAGCTGCGTCTGTCACTCCTCGATCGCCGCACAAGCGGCGTTGTAGATCTCCTCTGCCCGAGGATCCGTGAATTCGCCGTTCCGCTTCTTATGCGTCTCGGCGAAAACCTTTGTCATCGGAGGAAGTTCTCCTCCGTTATCTTCGACCTACAAAATCAAAATGAAAAAATTAGTATCGACAAATAAGGGTTAATTATTTGAAAACAAAAAAATTAGTAATTTTAATTTACTTACCATCATAAGCCGTCTTCCGGCAAAAGGAATCTGGCCGGAAGTGTGCAGAACGTTCTTCCGATTTCCCGCATCGTCAGTAGCGTTCCTGAAAAATATTTTCATTAGAATCTATTATAAGAATTAATGAAAACAGATAATGTAAATATTATTGGAATTAACTACTTACCTAGATACAGAACAATTGGCGGCCGTAGTCTGGTTGTGCGGATCTAACCAGTACTGGACAAGGCCCCGCCAGACGGTATTGGCCATAGGCGCCGGCTTGGCCTTGTCGCCGTCAACCTCCCACTTCCGTTTCCAGTCGGAAACGGTGTTGTTGAGGCGAAATTTGACCTTCTCCTTGAAGGCCGTCTCCACACGTCCGTGTGCGGATGTTTCCCAATGCCAGTTTTGCTAGGAAAAAAAGAAGTTAGTAATTATTGTAAAAATTTAAAATTTAAAATTAAAATTAAACGAAATTGTAAATTATTTACCGCAAAACACTTGAACCAAGTGTCAAGTGTGGCCTGATCCAGCTTCTTCCAGCTGGTATGGGGTTGTACGAAAAACCCCTTGATGATATCCGCAACGTTACGACCGACAGCATTGTCGGTCGTAAACCTAGTCAAATAGAAAAAGAAATGTAAATTAATTTCAAATATATAAAAATAACTATTAATTAATGTAAAAATATTGTTGGAAAAAAATTACGTACCAAAATGTGCTCGGGGCTCGATCTGGGTCGAGTTTGTTCATGGTCTTACGACCCGGCTGTGCCAGAAGATCCTGTACCGTAAACTGGGCATACGGTACAGGCGGGATTGGATCAGCCTCAGGATCGGCCGGTGCGGGAGCCGCTGGTTCGGCTGGTGGTGGTGGAGGTGGTGCCGGCTGCGGTACAACGACCGGTTGGGAAACCGTCCGTTGTGTTCCTGAGGACTCCGGGATGGCTGATCCGGTCGCCGAGGTAGACGGGGCCGTACCGTCAGAATCGACCAGCTGTCGGTAGTGAAATCTCTTAGCCCGAGGAGCCATATCGACAGAATCTACAAAATTTAAAAAAATTTGTTACTAATTTTTCAAATATTTATTTAAATTTACAAAATCCGGGCCTATCTAAATTCCGAAACCTAAATCTAAATTCTGAACCTAAATCTAAATTCCGAACCTAAATCTAAAAGAATATGTAATGAAATTAATTTAAAAAAAAACTTACAAGTATTGGCTGGGAGAGTAGGGAGAGAGGGAGTGGTTTAGGGTTTAGAGAGAGAAAGTATTGTAGAGAGAGAGGGGAGAAGAGAGGAATGCGCGACGCGCGTCCCTTATATAGATTTTGTGATCATCGTAAAATCGTCGTAACTTTGCGACGATTTTACGACGATTCGGTTGTATAACAGTCGGTCC